CTCTCCCCGAACCCTGCATTCACTATATCCGGTCTCCCCGGACCCTGCATTCACTATATCTGGTCTCCCACAGCACACACAACATGGAAATGCAATTATTCTAGTAAATATAAACTGCTGTATACCTTTTCTCATCAGCAGTATATATCTTGTGCCTTCTGTCAGTGTCCAGCCGAGCACTGGTTAAAGTTTGTAAGAGGAGTTTGCATTTTGCTCCAGGTGTATGCAGAACCCATGACCTCTGTCTGAACAGTGCTAATTGGCCCTGTGCTGATCACATTCACACTCAAGAAGAAAAAAAAACAAACCTCTCTAGCAATACACACCAAACTGAGCATGTGCAGTGTCTACACACAATATGTCTTATCAGGAGATAAGGGGGGGGGGGCCACTGGAAGAAGGGGAGGATCAGAGAAGACAGGATCAAACAGCCTTTTTACACAATGCGGAGGATTAACCCCTTCGGTCCCACAGTGAGTATAACAAGCATGCTTTACTGCATCTACAGACTGATTGTACAGTTGTGGGTTTAAGAACATGTGTTGACTTTTGGGGCTCTGGTTAAAAAAAATAAAAATAAGTATATGGTTTGGGCAGCTGACACACATTGAGCCCGGGTTCACATTGACGCGGTGCGGAATTTACACCAGTGGTTGTGCGATTTCCTCACCCCATCATGATTGCACCCCCATTCATGCGAACTGCTGCGGGTATGTATGTTAAGTTAATGACACCCCTAAAATTGGTTCGCAAAATGCAGTGCGATATGCAGAATCAGATCGCATGGGTGTGAATACCCATGTGATCAGATTCTGGTGCGGTAAAAAAAAAAAAAAAAAAAAAAAAAAAAAAAAAAAATCGCACTGCACAGAAATCGCATGTGATTTTCGCAGTTATGCGGTGCGGTTCCTGTACGAACCGCATGCGATGTGCTGCACCGCATCAGTATGCACCCAGGCTCAGAGCTCATTGAACATGAACAGGTTGACTGACACACCTAAAGGTTTATTAAAGCAACAGTCAGCTCTGTGGTTAAAATTTCAAGCACAAGACGACCTCTCGGCCAATCGATGGAAACATGACCGGTTACACCTCTCGACTCTCCAGCGTGAACTGAAAACAGGAATAGGAGGTTCCTGCGGATTGGTTCTTGTGCCTATCATGTAATGCATATATGCGCCGGCTGGTGGGGCTTAGGGCCAGTTCACACTACATGCGTTTCAGCAGCTTTTTGTTCTGCATCCAAAACGCACAGAAAGTCGGTGATAGGGTTGTCAATGTCATAGTTCACATCAGTGCTTGCAGTTCCAGTGCGTTCCGGTTGCAGAATAAAAAGTAGAGCATGCTGCATGTCTTCTGCACAGAGCTGTACTGGTACACGATAAAACGCACACGCCATGCGTTTCAGTTGTTTTTTTCTACGTACATCCAAAATGCACAGAAAGTCAGTTATATGGTTGTCAATGTCATAGTTTACATCACTGCTTGCAGTTCCAGTGCGTTCCGGTTGCAGAAAAAAAGTGGAACAGGCTGCATTTTTTTTCTGCACAGAACTGCACTGGAATGCAGTAAAAAAAAAAAAAACGCATGTCCCTATTTAGGCATGGTTCACAGTACATGCTTTTCAGTTGCTTTTTTTTCTGCATCCAAAACGCACAGAAAGTCGGTTATATGGTTGTCAATGTCATAGTTCACATCAGTGCGTGAAGTTCTAGCGCCTTCCGGGTGCAGAAAAAAAAAAAAAAAGCAGAGCAGGCTGCATTTTTTCTGCGCAGAACTGCACTGGAATGGGGTAAAAACACATTAAAAATTGGGCAACACTGTGGCTAAATGGTTAGCACTTCTGCCTGGCAGTACTGGAGTCGTTGGTTTGAATCACAGCCACGGCACCTCCTGCCTGGAGTTTGCATGTTCTCCCTGTGCCTGCGTGGGTTTCCTCCGGGTACTCTGGTTTCCTCCCACACTCCAAAGACATGCTGGTAGGTGAATTGGCTCCTGTCTAAATTGTCCCTAGTATGTGTATGTATGTGAGTTAGGGACCTTAGATTGTACGATTGAAGTGCTGCGTAAATTGACGGCGCTATATAAGTACCTGAAATAAATAAAAATGCACTGGAATGCAGAACACATAAAAAAAAACGCACTGGAATGTGTCAAAAACGCATAAAAAAATACACCGGAATGCGTCAAAAATGCGCATGCAGAAACGCATCCAGAATGTATTTCTATAGTGTTAACCGGCCCTTAATGTCCACATGCCAAACTTTTGTGTCCATGGTGGCTGAGGTCGCTGTCGCACGCGCTCAGTTCTCGGGTCTCTATCAGGACAGGCTCCCGATCATGTGACCACTGTGACAGTCAATGATTAGGAAGTCGCCCCCCCCCCCCCCCCTGCATGAGACCCAGTTATAGAGCAACAGCAGGCAGGAAGGGGTTAAAGAAAAACCGCTACTCGGGGGAAGGACATAGGCTGCCATTGGACGCTGATTCCCTAAAGGAGTAGAAAAGGTTCACTCAGTTGAGCTGAATACACAATTACATAGAATGGATCAATAACTATAATAATGATCATTTTATTACATTTTTGGTTGCACATAAATCAGATTATAATACAGCTTTTCCTTTTACCCAAACTAAGTGACCAATCCTTACTCTTTTACTAAACCAACCCCGCTGACTTACAAGTCTGCAGATCAGCTGTCCTGCCTTCACTGGCTGCATGCTTGCGTCAGGTGTGTGTTTAGAGGCTATAGAATCTGGAAAAAGCCAATCAAGTAGGTTTTTTTTTTTACCTTGGTTTCACACCAATGCATTTTTTTGTAGTGCTTTTTGCAGAAAATGCACTACAGTCATGGCACCACCTGCCTGGAGTTTCTCCCTGTGCCTGTGTGGGTTTCCTACAGGTACTCCGGTTTCCTCCCACACTCCAAAAATATGCTGGTAGGCAGGGGCGGACTGACCATTTGAAAACTCGGGCACTGTTTCCAATTTGGATACACTATCACCTTTTACCATATTACTGGGATCTTTGAGATCGTTTATGCACCTAACCCACTGGGATATTGTGGATGGTATATTCATACTCATCGTCAAGGGCGGACTGACCATTTGGAATCTCGGGCACTGCCAGAGGGCCCGGGGTCAGTAGGGGGCCCCATGAGATGCCCGTGGTACCTTTTTCATAGGCTTTTTTGAGTTTGGACAAGGACACGGGGCCCCATGATCCCCTATTGTCCGGGGGCCCCATGAGTTGTCAGTCCGCCCTGCTGGTAGGTTAATTTGGTCCTGTCTACATTGTCCCTAGTATGTGTATGTGAGTATGAATTGTGTGAGTTAGGGACCTTAGATTGTACACCCCTTGAGGGTTAGGGACCTTAGATTGTACGCCCCTTGAGGGTTAGGGACCCCTTAGATTAGGGACCTTAGATTGTACACCCCTTGAGGGTTAGGGACCTTAGATTGTACACCCCCTTGAGGGTTAGGGACCTTAGATTGTACACCCCTTGAGGATTAGGGACCTTAGATTGTACGCCCCTTGAGGATTAGGGACCTTAGATTGTACGCCCCTTGAGGGTTAGGGACCTTAGACTGTACGCCCCTTGAGGGTTAGGGACCTTAGACTGTACGCCCCTTGAGGGTTAGGGACTGATGTGAATGTACAATATATATGTAAAGTGCTGTATAAATTGATGGCGCTATATAAGCACCTGAAACAAATAAAATAAATACAGTCCATTTAACATGGTTTTTCTATGGGACATGTTCGCATCTATGCTATTATGAGCTGCTGTGTGTTTTTGGAAAGGGTCGGAATTTTTTGAAAATGCAAAAAAGCAGCATTTTTGCTACAATAGAGTTCAATGGAGAAGCTGCTGAAACGCATTTAGTGTGTGTGCTTGAAGCATTTTTACTGCGTTTTGTCTCGTAAAAAAAAACAAATTCAAGAAAAAAAAAAAAAAATAAATAAAATAAAAACTCCAAAAACTCCCCCCAAAAAAAAACCAAATATCCCCCCCCAAAAAAACCCAAAAATACAACTAAAAAATACAATAAAAAAAAAAACAAAAAACCCCCCCAAAAAATACAACTAAGAAATACAATAAAAAAAAAAACAAAAAAAACAAAACAAACAGCACAAAAAAAAAAAAATAAAAAATGCAACACACAATGCAAAAAGCATTATATAATTGGATCAAAAGCATAGGTGTGAACCAAGCCTTAGGCAATCATCCCCCGAATTTCTTCATGGTACAGCTTTCCTAAAATGACAGCACACACCCAACCCTACTGGAACTTCCAGAGCCCCCTGGACCCCCCCCCCCCACCCCAACTGGAACTTCCAGAGCCCCCTGGACTCCCCCCCCCCCCCCCATTACCCTTCTCCCCCATTTTAAAACCAAACTCCTCTCCAGACACTTTGCCATGGTGTTTATTTAAAATAAATTTCAATGTAAATCGATCTTTATACAAATATAACAAATGGAAAAAAGCGGTGCAGGTGCAAAAATAAATATTTATACATATGATTTCCTCGCAAATATATATATTTTTTTTCTCAAAATTTTACAAAAATAAAAGTTTAGCCCGTTCCTATACACAGCTAAGGCGCACACCCCAGAGGAGGGGGAGTTGTTAAAAGTCAGATTTTGGATTCTCTTCCCCTCCCCCATCCTTCCCAACAAGTAACCTACTTGTCCATTCAGTCCAAAGTGGACACTTAACTCCTTCACAGCCAGAACTTACATTTTAGCCACCTAGAGTCCTGTAACTGGTTTAACTCCTTCAAGGCCAGGTGCCCCCACACAGTCCCATGTTTCACTGGGCCTCACAGGTTTAAATAGCCCAGTCCAGCTGTGTGGCTTCTTGCACCTGCGGCGCCCTCTAATGGTCCCCCAGTGGCAGCGCACAGGAAAGCTTTTTTTTTTCCTAGAAAGCTGGGGGCATCTTGGAAGGGCAGTTAACCCTCTGCTTGCCATAGGGTTGGAAGGGGGGGTATCAGCTCACTGGGTGGAGTCTGAGTCGCTGGAATCCAGGCTGTGGCGGAGTTTGCAGCTGCTGAGTTTGTCCCTTTGGAGGTGCATGCTGTGTGAGCTCCTTCTCAGGTTCTCCAGGGACTGCAGGAAGGACTTTCTGGCTTTCTCCTCCTCAGTGGGGGACAAGCCTTCTTCCTCCACCTCCTGGATCTCATCGAAGGTGACCGGCTGGGTCTTGAACCGACTCTGCCGGGGTCGCCGCAGCTTGCCTTTGCCCCCCTGGGCCCGGGGTTGGATGGGCTGGGGGTACTCCTCGGTTGCTCCGCTGTAGTGGGGCATCACTGATTGGTAGCTGATGCCTAGGGGCTCCGCTGGCTTAGCTGGTAGGACCGCAGAGGACATGGCACTTGCTTTCCAGGAGTGGGGTGCTGGGTCTAAGCTGATGCCAGGCTAAGATCCTGCAGGAGGCTGCGCAATGTAAATGGTTAGCAATGCCCAGGTGTGGGGATGCCCAATTCAGCAGCCAAACTGTATAATGTTAATGGTCTGCTGTGCTGGTACCAGTAGTGCTCTTGTGCTTGGTATTGGGCTGTGCTGGTACCAGTAGTGCTCTTGTGCTTGGTATTGGGCTGTGTTGGTACCAGTAGTGCTCTTGTGCTTGGTATTAGGCTGTGCTGGTACCAGTAGTTCTCCTGTGCTTGGTATTGGGCTGTGCTGGTACCAGTAGTGCTCTTGTGCTTAGTATTGGGCTGTGCTGGTACCAGTAGTGCTCCTGTGCTTGGTATTGAGCTGTGCTGGTACCAGTAGTTCTCTTGCGCTTGGTATTGAGCTGTGCTGGTACCAGTAGTTCTCCTGTGCTTGTTATTGGGCTGTGCTAGTACCAGTAGTTCTCTTGTGCTTGGTATTGAGCTGTGCTGGTACCAGTAGTTCTCCTGTGCTTGTTATTGGGCTGTGCTAGTACCAGTAGTTCTCCTGTGCTTGTTATTGGGCTGTGCTAGTACCAGTAGTTCTCTTGTGCTTGGTATTGTGCTGTGCTGGAACCAGTAGTTCTCTTGTGCTTGGTATTGCGTTGTGCTGGAACCAGTAGTTCTCTTGTGCTTGGTATTGCGCTGTGCTGGAACCAGTAGTGCTCCTGTGCTTGGTATTGTGCTGTGCTGGAACCAGTAGTGCTCCTGTGCTTGGTATTGGGCTGTGTTGGCACCAGCAGTGCTTCTTCGTTGGGTGCTGTGCTGGCACCAGTAGTGCGCTTATGTTGGGTGCTGTGCTGGCACCAGTAGTGTTCCTGTGCTGGGTTGAGCTGTTTCTGCCCAGTAGTCCTGCTCCTGTGCTTGGCTGAGCTGTTTTATGACTGGTAGTAATGCTCTTGTACTGTGCTGGTAGCAGTACTGCTCCTGTGCTGGGTCTCAGTAGAAATGCTCCAGGTTCTGCTGCCTCCCAGCTTTATAGCTCTCCCTCCTCCCACTCACAGAGGCTCTGATGACAACACTCTCCTTGTAAAGGCTCGGAGCTTGCAGCTTGCATTTAATGACGTTTCAAGCTCATTTCTCCAGCTTTCTCAGCTTCCCTCAAACAGATTTCTTCCTTTCATAGGCTGTGGGGACTTCTGTGTCCTACATGGCTAGGTAAAGTGAACTACAAGTCCCAGTATCACCAACTGGTCCCCGGCCTACTCTTCTTATCATTCCAGTTCCCCCAGTGTGGGGAGGATGGTTGGACTTGCAGGAATGAATCAACCGCGACGAGGCTTGCCCCCCGACTGAACTTTCCATAAACACGTACAATTGGCTGCCCAAGCACACCCGCTTATACTTAAAGCCCAACTCCAGGAAACATAAAAATTATCCCTCACCATGGAGGCTGTGCCTGAACTGCAAGGGTTAATTGCTCCTTTTTGTTTAGGGGACTCATTAAAGAAGATTTACTTACCCGATCCTCCATTCTTCTGCGCTGCTAGACCGTCTTCTCCACTATGTTCCAGCGTTGTAAGGTCCTGACATCATCAAGACCAATGCAGGGTCCATAGTCTGCATGGACTGTCCACCACCTAGGCAAGGGGGAGCGGAGGAACAGGTAAGTTAAAGCCTGTCTCCTCTCCCCTAAACTAAGCAAGCAGTTAACCCTACAGATGAAATTGCAATTTAGTCTTTGAAGTCCATTCTCCGGCTTCCGTGGAATTACTGTTCTCATGGCCACCACGCGTCATCCTATGCCCTTCTCTCTCAGATAAGTAACAACCAGGGGCGGACTGACAACTCATGGGGCCCCCGGGCAATAGGGGATCATGGGGCCCCTGTGTCCTTGCCCAAACTCAAAAAAGCCTATGAAAAAGGTACCAGGGGCATCTCATGGGGCCCCCTACTGACCCCGGGCCCTCGGGCAGTGCCCGAGTTTCCAAATGGTCTGTCCGCCCCTGGTAACAACTGAAACAAATGATCCTTTTAGCTCTCTCTATGGGTGGCATTTTTTCCCAATGACCACCAATATACAAAGCCATTCTTCTACCAGCTGGAAATTAACTCAAGGGAACCCAAAATTGATTTGGGTTGATCAAAACCATCACTGTCTGTCGCATGCCTTTTTTGTCTTGTATGATTGATGGATGCCCACTCTGATCGTTTTGTTGTACTGGTCTTCCATCGTTCAGTTTTTTTGCACCATGCATGGCCAACAATAGACCAGTGGATCCTCAAATCTTCTGTCTCTGATAAGTAACAACTGAAACAAATGATCCCTTCAGCTCTCTCTAGAGGTGCTATTTTTCCCAAGTGACCACCAATGTTTGGGAGGCAGTCTTCCTTCTACCAGCTACAAATGCAAAGAAACCCAAAATTGACTTGGGTCAGTTGAAACCATCACTATCTGTTGCTTGGCCATGCCATTTTGTCTGGTTTGATCAATCGATGTCTGCTTTTTGTTGAATCAGACATTGATAGTTCCGTTTTATCACACCATACAATGCCACCATTGGATCCGTGGATCCTGTGATCCTATCAGCTCTCTCTAAGGGTGGCATTTTTTCTAAAAGACCCCCCAATGTAAGGAGGCATTCTACTGCCAACTAATGCAAGGGAAAATGCAAAATCAGTTTGGGTTAATTGAAATCTTGATTATTTGTCACTCATCGCTCTGCTATGCCATTTTTTTCTTGCTTGATTAATCAGTGCTCACTTTGATAGTTTTCTTGAACTGGACTTTGATCGTTCAGTAATATCACACCATGCATGGCCACCATTAGACCATTGGATTCTCTGCTCTTCTCTCTCAGGTAAGTAACAACTGAAACAAATTAACCTTTTAGCTGTCTCTAAGCATGGGATTTTTTCTTCTTCTACTGCCCACCAATGCAAGGGGACCCAACAATGGACCACCTTGGGTATTGGATCCGCTAGGAATGCCACATTCTTTACTCTTTTATTTATTATATCTACAACTGGTGATCCTTATGTACTGTAGATGTAATTTTTTTCAGCAGGGGTAACATAAAGTGTGACAATTATTTTAAGGGTTCCGCAGGGTAGAGAGGTTGACAAAAGCAAAAAGGCAAAAGATGGTGAACTTAAATCCCAGCCAAATAATTGTTCGAGTTCAGCCTGGTCACTGACATGTCAAGGAGCCAATTATCTAGCACTCCATGGGAAAAGTACAGGCTCGCACCAGGCCGCTATGCTGATTACATGTAGAGAAGTTCCTTCTTCCCATTTTCTTATACAAACATGAGGTTAGCAGAATGTTCCTAGACTGTTCCTTCTCCACAGGAACCTGTACTTAGGCATAGCCCAGGGGTGTCAAACTCCATTTCATCTCGGGCCATATCAGCATTATGGTTGCCCTCAAAGGGCCAGTTATATCTGTAAGACTAGATGTCCGGGGCACCCCACCTACCATTACATCAGATGTCAAGAATCCCACACCCTCCTTAACATCACTGTGTACCCCCTTTGGGGGCAGAGCTGGAAAGCAGAAAGTGCAGGGTCTGGAGGAGGACCAGAGGAGGAGTGGAGTCCGTTACCGGAGTCTACTGAATGCTGAGACCAGGGTAGGCAGAGATGAGGGGGTGCTGCAGATACACTGAGAGGTTCAGGTTTTGGCAGAGGAGTTCTATTCTCCTCTCTGCTGCTGACTGCTGAGACAAGGTGGTGGGGGTGGAGACAAGGGGGTACCTACAGGAGAGGTGCAAGGGCCACATGAAATGGCCTGGATTCAGGCCGCGGGCCTTGTGTTTGACACCTGTGGCTTAGCCTATCTCTCCCTTTTTGTATATCCCTACCTACTCTCCCCAAACAGCAGGGCTTCCAGACTGACCCAGCAGGGGCTATATATCCCTTCTCTCACAAAGATGGACCCCAAAATCTTTTTTTATACTTTTTTTATTTGCACTAACATCCAGTTTTTTTCAGGACAAGCTTTTGGGGTGCGTCTCTTTTTCAAAGCCCAAACAGTTCTTCACAAAAACTGCAGTCCATTCCTGCCCAAAAAATCAATCTTCCACTCAATCCCTCCCACCCTCCCTGCATTCCCAACATTCCCAACATTCCCAACATTTTTAAAAAGGGAAAAAAAAATATTTTTTTCCAGAATCCCTTCTCCCACCCCAATACTCTATAGAACCTCCTATGCACCCTTTTGGAGTGCTCCAGTCAACCAAGACTTGCTTCCAACCACAAACCGTGTAGTTTTTTGCCACCTATCTTCATCCACTTAGGGGTCCAATGCTCTCACACAGCACACATCCACATCCAGTAAAAGAGGAAGGAAGAGAAAAAAGGGTAGAGTGATGTAAGTTGTTTTTTTTTCTTTTTCAACCTTTGTGAATGGATGCAAGGAAGGTGGGTGGGGGGAAGTGAGAGGGGAGATTGGTTTTGTCCAGAGGTGGGTCTTAATATTTGGTGAATAGGAGGGATTGAGGGGAGAGATTGATTTTGCCTAGAGGTTGGTCTTAAGTTGAGGTGGGTAGGAGTGATTGAGGGGAAAGACTCATTTTGCCCAGAGGTGGGTCTAAATTCATTTGTGTTGGGGGATATGACGAGAGCAGGGGCGGACTGACAACTCATGGGGCCCCCGGGCAATAGAGGATCATGGGGCCCCTGTGTTCTTGCCCAAACTCAAAAAAGCCTATGAAAAAGGTACCAGGGGCATCTCATGGGGCCCCCTACTGACTCAGGCCCCTCGGGCAGTGCCCGAGTTTCCAAATGGTCAGTCCACCCCTGGACGAGAGAGATTGATTTTTTTTATTTGTGTGTTAAATTCACATGAGTAGGGAGCATTGAGAGGGGAGCTTGATTTTGAACAGAGATGAGTTTTAAATTCAAGTGGGTAGGAGAGATTGAAGAGAAAGATTAAATTTGCTCAGAGGTGGATTTTTCATTCAAGGTGGTAGGAGGGACTGAGGGGGAAGATCAATT